ACTTTTAAGGCACAAGGATACCTACACAAATCTTCAACAATTCCCGCATTGCACCACTGATCATTTAACACAGAACAAAAAAGTTTTCTGATTGCAATGAGTGGCAATGGTCATCATGCAGGGTAGTTACAATTACCGTAGATGTAGTGTCGCCAAAAAGTAGATAATGTGTTAAAAAATGTATCCGCTATAAGTGCTTTCCTTACCACTTAGGTAAAATCTGAATGTTTTCTAATACATTGTTTATTCTCTAAGCAAAATCTGTATAATGTTCGTAAGAGCACTTCTCAAATGTTCTCCAAAAGCTCTAGGAACAAAATGGACGAAAATGGCCTAATCCAAGTTCAAAGTCAAAAACTTTATATATCAGAAGTTGGTCTCTTACTATAGGTCATGTAGAAACCTGCTGACGACTTAATGATTGAATAATTCACTGGGTAGGTGGAGGTAAAAGAGGGACTAAAGTTAAGCAGAAGAAGAGCCATTTGAAAAGGTAAATAAACCATACTGGGACATATGGAAGTCATTTAAATTAAGTAAATAATATTACAAAAGCAAATAATATGCAGATATTAAATAAAAGAGAGTGTATAAGTAATAAAGTTTTAATATTTTTTAGTCAATAATATATTAATGACAATTATTTTTAATACTGAACAAATAGTAGGTTATGATTTTGTTTGCTGGTCCTATTTAAAAAAGAAACTATGTAAATACCTACTAATTTAATACAATGAAATATTTATTATTATCTCGAATAACTTATTATCTCATAAAAATGTCTTCGAGGACCTTGATAAACCTGCTAAATAATTAAAAGGACTGCCTAAGGCAAATGTAAACCGTAACATCGTACCATATGCCATATTACTTTGGTATACAGCCATGGAAACATTTTTTATTGTAGTTTTATTTTTTTTTTTCGCACAGCCTTCGCCATAAAGCAAGGGAGACTTTTTGCCAGCGTTGATTCCATGTTATCTTGTAGTTAAAAGTATTTAGTTTCTTGGGCAAGGAATCTCCACTACTTTCAGTACTGTACATATATTTTGTTTTGAGAAGTTAATTATTGTGGTTTTGTGAGGGTTCATTGCTAGTTCCTTCTCTCTGTATCACTAGACAACGATATTGCACCGATGGCGCATCCATAGCAGGACTATCGAACTGTTTGTACTATTTGTAATTGTCTATACAATATGTTTATGTAAATTTGTTGGTTTTTGCAATTATATAATGATAGTATCTTTTTATTATTTGATTTATGGCCAAACGAGCACAGGCTACTAATATATTCAACGGCAGACATTGAATAAAAATTTGGTTTTTCTAAACGTAATAATTAATACCACCTGTTAATATATCAATGCGATAAGACTAAGCTGAGGGTACTAGATAGCGAATTTGCTTCCTGGGCAGACGCACATTCCATCCTATACGAACTAGAACAGTCAAAACGTTGTTAAAAACAATATTGCCTCACTCGCCTACTTAAAATTAGTTCACATTCAAAAGTGCGCGCCGATCGTTACTTTCGACAACACATGTCACTTCCGCTCTTGAAAAAGAAGAGTGAAGAAGAAAACCTTCGCCAAACGAGTAGTTGGCAAATCAGTTGCACTTCAGCTCTTGAATAGTATTGACTCTATAAGTCGCTTCATACAGTTAAATTACCATTGTATTGTGAGCTTCCATAAAGCCACATTGTCTTATTTGTTATGTTTGTATTTGTTGTGTTTAACTTAAAATAAATAATAAAAAACTACAGTCCACAATTTTATTCCCGGCATAAGTGCCGAACAAACGTCATCTTTTATACAAACACTTAATATCTAAAAAAATTCTTACCTGGTGAGCAGAATATAATTAACAAATGTAATATACTGGCAAACTACAATCTGATGATACATAGAAATCACATGATTCAGCGATAACATCAAAAAGTCGTAATCTTTTTTTTCTAGTGTAATAATCAGTTCCCTTATGTGTATAGCAAAAAAGACAACATGTAAAATACATATTCTAGCTATTAACTTGTTAATATAAGCTTTCTTTGGTGTAAAATTAGCATAACTAAGACATCTATCTAAAGTTTTTAAACTTTGGTATAATTTCTTATATGTTTTTTGTTGAGTCATAGCTGTAATTCTACATACTAAGATAAAAATAAATTCCATCGGAAAAGCAATGAAATCGACTGTAGTGCGAGTAACCGAAGTACATTTTGAACTATTTTCTATTCTTGTCTTTAAAGCCGATGCCGTCGCCAATAAAATTAGACATGAACTCAGCAAAAGATACAATTTATAAAAAATATATCTTATTTTATTCCTCTTCATAGAGCAAGAAAACACTCCTATAAATTCTCCAAATTTATAGGTGTATGTCAGAAGACGCATGTCAAACGTAGTTGATGACATCTTGATGACGGTTGTACAGGACTAAAACTGAAATATCTAATTATATTATTCGATTAGGTATTTAGAAAATACGCCCTTTCCTGTACTTTTTAAATAAGCTGATTACCTAATTAATTTTAATGTCAAATTACACTAATACAGGGCACATTAGTGACGCGGGTCCATTTTTTTTTATTAAGCATCGCCCACTTGGGCAATTAGTTATTAATTGAGTATAACACTTAAATACATTAACGCTGTGTCTAGAATCCCGGTACCGAAAACACATTTTTTACCGGTAGTTTTGATGACGTCAACTATATGACGCACTAGGTACGGGGCATGTGGCATGTGGTCGTTTAGTGCATGATATAGGCGAGACACAGGACTACACAGTAGCACCCCCGTCTAGCACAAAAATCGTAGCAAGCCTCAAATTTTTTTAAAATCTCTTTATTATAGGTTTTTCAGGACTGTTTTTAGACCTTAAGGGGAAGATGCTGTTAGGTGAATGTGGCAGTTTCGTTTGTCCTTTGCTTTCCTCAGTGGATTTCTTTTCCTCTTCAGAGGTTAAGTTCCCAGAGCTATGACTGAAGATGGATTTGTCTATTCCGGGGAGTAGGTCGGTGCTCCTTACTCTAATTTGGATTCGGGGATCGCTTGGAATAGTAAAGATTTTCGGCACTGCTTCTGTGCCTTCTAGTTTATGAGCTCTATTGCCTAGGGTTGTTAGCATTTATCTCAGAGGGTACAGAGTCAAATCTAAACCTACGGCTACTCGATCCACCTACGGTTTGATTTTTGTGCACGGCTTTAAGAGTTTGCTTCACTATTGTTGTTATTTTGCGTTATAGTACTTGCTCCAGTTTCCTGAGGCCTAGCATTTTCACTAGAGGGGGTAGTTTAGTTTCAAGGGTGAGGGTCTTCCTCTGATGAGTGGGCGTGCTATCCAAAGTCTAACGTTCTAGCCCTGATATGGCTGTGAAGCGGTACATTGCTTAGAAGTTGAATATTCAATATCTAATGCGCGACTAGAGGACATAAAAAGGAAAACAAAATCTGATAATAGTTTTAGGATCATTCAAGAATATAGTGTACAAGGTTGGCCTGATAGAGTAGTAGAAGACGAAGAGATACAAAAATACTATAAAATCAAAGATGAGATAATTTTAAAAAATGGAATAATCTCTTATAATAATTGAATTTGTATTCCCAAAGAATTGCGATACCACATGTTACAGCAGTTACATAAAACACATGCGGGTATCGAAAAAAACTAAAAATAGGGCCAAAAAGTTGTTTTATTGGTCAGGTATGAATGTAAATATTGAGAGGTTTATTGCAAACTGTAGAGTGTGTGAGAAGTTTAGTAAAAATAATGTTAAGGAGCCATTATTGCAACATGAGATGCCTAAACTTCCTTTTGAAGTTGTAGCATCAGATATATTAGATTATGGAGGTCAGTCATATCTAGTACTAGTTGATTTCTATAGCAATTGGATAGAGTTACATAAATTAAAAAGTAAATCAATGCAAGACATTTTGCAATGCCTGAAAATGATTTTTGCTGTCTTTGGGCTACCCCTTAAATTCTTGTCAGATAATGTTCCCTATAATAGCAAAATGTTTAGACAATTTTGCACTGATTATGATATAGAATGTATATTTTCAAGTCCGAGGTATCCCAAAAGCAATAGCTGTAAAGGCCGTGGGAATATGTAAACAAATATTACGAAAGTGTGTAAATGATGATGAATTGTTCTATTTTCTACTAGAATATAGAACAACACCTTTATGTGGCGTTAACAAATCACCATCGGAAATTTTAAATAGTAGATTACTAAGAACTGTATTACCTGTTGATAGTGAGTTACTAAAACCAAAAGTTGTTGATGTGTATAAAAAAAAGTTTGAGAAACAAAATATGGTTAAAGAAAATTATGATAAGACCGCAAAAAATGGGCCTGTTTTTAAAAAAGATGACAATGTATTACTGAAAATAAGAAAAGGAGATTTTTGGAAGAGGGGTAAAATAGTGGGTGCTCATCAAGCACCCAAGTCAATGATAGTGCAGAGTGAAAATGAAGGCACTTATAGAAGAAATACTTCTTTTCTTAAAAAAATATTCTAATAATAAAATGAAGGAAATGACAAGTGTAGTAAATGATGAACAGGTTGTTGACAAAAGTGAAAGTAGTGACAACAGTCAAATTTGTAACAATCAGGAACAAAGTGATAGGGACAATCTTGACAAAGAGAAGGACAAAGATCAAGTTGATATTATTAATAGGGTTGCCACAAAGTCTGGTCGTGTTGTACGTAGACCAGCAAGATTTAATGATTAATCAATCGGATAAAGGGAAAGGGTGCCCCATGCCTCAAAAACCTTGGAAATCGAAAAATCATAGAAAAACAGAAAAATATCCATTTTATTTATTTATCTTGTTAAATGTTAATTATCTGCAAAAAACTGTTACATAAAAGTTGGAAATCTATAAAAAAAAATTTAAATTTTTTTTTTTTACTACAAATCTTGAGGCATAGATAAAGTCTCTTTTTTATAGCCTGGAAATTTTCAGCGATAATCACTTCTGAAGCACATACTGTTTTTGTTGTTCGTTTTTCGTAAATAATTTATTATAATCTTCCCCTCTATCAGCCGAATCATTTACAACTTTCAATGTATTCACTAATTCCAGACCTTTTACAAAACATTCATTTTGATGCCACGTCAACGGATCTGTAATAAGGAATTCATTATCCAATTCAAATCTTTAGAAAAATTCTCTAGTTTCGGAGGAAACGAATTGTTCAATTCCGTCGTTGATAATTTGTGGGATTTCATCGATTTGTATTTGTATTCGCTTCTCATTTTTGATTGATAATTCTGTTTCGCGATTTAAAGCATTGACCATTTTTATTTTCGATTCAAATGGCACATTTGGATCAAAGAAAGCTAATGCGACAACTTCAGGACTTAAATACCATAAATGATTGCTTAGTTTTTGTAAAGCAACTTGAGATATATCACGATCGATAGCTTGATATGCAAAAAGTTTTGAAAGAACCGTGAAATCGTAATACGGTGCTTTGGCAGCAGAAGGCGCACAAAACCATGCTTCGATATACACACTTACAATAAAAATACAAATATCACAAAGTGCATTTTGTTCTGTTTCTGATAATAAAAATTCATCACGAAACAGAAAGATTTTTAAGCAATAAATAGCTTTGGCCATCCACCTCGCATGATGGAAGGCTCCGGGAACACGAAAAGATATTCCACGAGGGGGTTTTTCGCCAAGAAATATTAATTCTAAAAGTTCCCTATAATCCTCTCTAGGCTGCTGTTCGCCTAAAGTATTTGTAACAAAGTCAAGAATTCGAGATATATCGCCCTGATTAAAGTTTCTCGCGACCTTTTCGTTTTTAATCCCAGATCGGAAATTATAAACATTGATTTTTGGCCAAGCGTTTTGAAATTTCTTAAACATTAAGACAGTCGGACTTGTAGTTTTACTCATCTTCTTTTCGAAAACGCTTCTAAGAATAATTTCATACACGTGATGTCTACAAGAAAAATACAAAAGATTTATTTCTAACATATTTTCTATTAAAACGCATGCACCTCTAAAACTTCCAGTATTCGTTGCTGTCGTATCGAAAACGAATGCTTTAATATAATCCTGGAGACTCCATTCAGCGAGAGTTTCACAAACAGCAGATGCCTGCTCTTTTCTAGTTCCAGATTGCAATACAGGCACTTTAAGAAGTTGCTCTGTATCGCCGTTAGTAAGTCTATCAACGATCTCTTTACATGTTAATGCTGAAAGTAATTTACCATCCCAATGCACGACAGCAGCTTGTAATTTAGTGTCTTTAAAGTACTTTTTAATTTTAGATGCATTCTTTTGCGTATTTTTTCTCTATAAAAATGAATGCAATTTCTGTTTATGATAAACTCCTTGACATCAAGATCCAATGCCTCGATTGTAGCAATCAGAATATGAACTGCATCCCTGTCAGAAATTTTACATTTATCTAAAACCGCACATAGCTTAGTTGTCATTGTGTTACGAAATCCTCTCTTCCTTTTTACTCTTGGTGATTCTGATAAAAGGGATGCAAATTCCATATCTTCCGGGGAAGTATGTTCTATCACAATATTAGCAGTGGATGTTCCAGCAACTGGTACTACACTAACATCTGATTCTAAACTGCTGCTTGAGGTTGAGACCAATTCGGCAGTTTGCACTTAAAAACAAAAGAAGAGATTTATTGATATGAAATCAAAAAAATTAACAATAACAAGCAAACATTTCCTGTATGGAATATAATTACATTTTGCATACTTACTCATTTGTTCAACTTCACGATCGCTTTGCTCTTTTCTGATCACGTCTGCCTTTCTTTGTTCCATAATTCTTGTTTCTCTTTTTGTTATTTTAAATTCCTTGAAATCGATTCCGTACATAAATCCTGGCCGTCCCTTTTTCCTTTGATAAATTAAAAATTGTTTATCTTCTTTAATAGAAATCATGTTCAAAGCGTTAGCATGTGCAATGTCAAATGTCTCCATTCTTGGTACATGGTTTCTAATTTTGGTATACAGTCTCTCATCTCCTAAGATGGAATTCGTGCCTTTTCCCAAAAAATTAGCACTTCTTTTAAAACTAGTCTGGCGCTTTCACGTAAAGTTAACTTCACTACTCGAAGATTAAAAAATAATACACTTAATACCTGTTCATTTGATGGCAATTTACATCCAGTTATATTATGCGAGTAATGCCCGAGTAAATAAATTTTTTCACGTAAACGAGTAGAAGTAGAACACATCGTGACGTGACAACTTGCTCTCACTCAGCAAAATTCCAGTAGAGAACTGACTCTCGACCTGTTGAGACAACTTTGAGCCACCACACCAGTTTTGCCAGAGCTGGTACAATTGTACTAGATCTAGTACATTCTCTGAGAATCTGGTACTCTAGTACACTCGAAACAAAATCTAGTACTTTTTTCAGCGTATGCTTCCATTTGAAGTGTAAAATATATTGGTCAAAAATTGCAAGAGAAATTAAAATAGTTCAGAGATAAAATGGTAGACACTTCTCGAGAGATAAAACATTGTTTAAAAATTGCACAAGAGATCAAATATTGTTCAAAAATGGCTCGAGAGGTAAAAAAGGGTGTTAAAAATTGGCCGAAGTATAAAATAGTATTATAAATTGCTTAAGGGGTAAAATATTGTTCAAAAATTGCTTTAGGAATAAAAATACTGTTAGAAATTTAATGAGAGTTAAAAAAATTTAATAATTTTTCGAGAGATTAAATAGTATTATAAATTGTTAAAATCGTGTTCAAAAATTACTCGAGGTAAAATAGTATTACAAAATGTTAAAATCTTGTTCAAAAATTGCTCGAGAGATAAAATACTATTGAAAAATTTCTTGAGAAATAAAATAATGTTCAAAATTGACTCAAGAGATACCTAATATTAGAAATTACTCGAGAGATAAAACATTGCTTAAAAATTCCTCGAACAATAAAATACTGTTAGAAAATGCTCGAGAGATAAAATATTGTACAAACATTGCTCGAGATATAAAACATTGTTAAAAATTTATCGAGAGGTAAAATATTTTTATAAATTTGTCGAGAGTTAAAATATTGTGCAGTTTGCTAAAGAGATAAAAAAGTTGTTAAAAATTGCTCGAGAGATAGAATAATGTTATAAATTTATCGAGAAATAAATTATTGTTTAAATATAGCTCAAGAGATAAAAAAAGGTTTAAAAAATGTTCGAGAGATAAAATAGTATCATAGGTTATTAAAATCTTATTCAAAAATTACTCGAGAATTAAAAAATACTGTTAAATATTTCTCGAGAGATAAGACATTGTTTAAAAATTGTTTTAGGAAGATAAAAAATGTTAATAAAAATTGCTCGAAAGAAAATAGTGTTAGAAATTTTTAAAATTTTGCTCAATAATTGCACGAGAGATGAAATATTGTTCAAAAATAGCTTGAAAGGTAAAAAAGCTGTTAAAAATTGCTCGAGTGATTAAATAGTGTTAAAAATTGTACAAAAAATTTTGTACAAATATTTCTCGAGGGAAAAAAAGTTGTTAAAAATTGCTCGAGAGATAGAATACTGTTAAAAATTTGTTGAAAATTGTTTAAAAACTGTTCAAGAGATAAAATATTATCAAAAGGTGTTAAATCTTTTTTAAAAATTGCTCGAGAGATAAAAAAAATGAAAAACTGTTCGAGAGATAAAAAAAATGAAAAACTGTTCGAGAGATAAAACAGTATCAAAAGGTATTAAATCTTATTCAAAAACTGCTCGAGAGATAAAATAGTGTCAGAAATTTGTCGAGAGATAAAATATTGTTTAAAATTGTTGTGTTCTTGTTTTCTATAAACCTTTTTTTGCTCTTTAACGACCAAACTTCATAATTAGACAAATCTGGTAATTTTATAGAATCTAGTACATTTTTATGAAATCTGGTACATTTTTTAGATAAATCTGGTACATTACAAAAATATATTCTGGCAACACTGCACCACACGTTGCCTTATCCCCTCTTTTTTATTTGGTTTGTCACACCCCGCTTTGGTAAAGCGTTTATTGTTGATTTATAGATTTTCGTTCTGTGTTACAGAGGGTGGATTTGTAGCAAAAGAAGTGATATTCAGTGCTAGATCCAAAAATGTATTTTTTTTATAAATCTAGAACTTTTGTATAATACTTTTTTGGATGTAATTAATATTTCTTAACATAAGAAATAAAACATATATTTGGGGCACCCTTTCCCTTTATCAGATAGAGCTGAAATTTTGCACAGATTTTTTTTTTTCATCTAATAGCACCAAACGGGGAGGTAGCGCAAAAAAAATAATTCTTTTTTTTTACCAAGAGTAACTAAGGGTCACCCTAATACTTCATATTGTGAGTTAAGAATGTTCATGTATGTTTTAGGTTAAATTGTAAGTCAAGAAAGTTTCGTGAAACAACCATAATATTGAGTACTTTAATGGTTAGTTGTAAACTAAATGAGAATGTTTAGTTGTAAGTTCATATTTTGAGTTGTGATTTTTAAGAATATTGTAGAATACAATTTTCATAGTTTTGGGGTTACTTACTTTAGTAAGAAGGGGGGATGTTACATATTTAAATAACAGCCTATGTATTATTATACATGATAATAATAGGTTGGTACCACGACAACACTGGTCAAGATAGAGCATGTCAGATTTACAATAAAAAAGTTATGAAGATTCCGCCTCTTATTTAATTAATCATCTTTAAAGATAAATATGAAACAAATATAGACTGCATAGACCCTTATTCCAATTAAACAAGAAAGGACCTTCATAGACTAGATCTATAAAACTGTCTTCTTAGAGGCTTATTAAAAAAAAACTTACCTGGTGAACAGAATGTGATTAACAATTGTGATAAACTGGAAAACTACTACTTGATGATACATAGTAATAAGATGGTGCAACGCCAGTAACAAAAACTCGTAATCTCCTTTTTTTAATTTAATTATTAGTTCTCTTATATGTATGCAAAGAATTATAACATGCCAAATACATATCCTAGCGATAAATCTTTTAATATTGGCTTTCTTTAGAGTAAAATTGGTATAACTTAGACATCTATCTAATGTAGTTAAACTTTGATGTAAATGTATGTATGTTTTTTGTTGAGTAAAAGCTATAATTCTGCAAACTAAGATAAAACTAATTTCTATCAGAAAGTTAATATAATCTACTGTAGTGCGAATAACAGTATGTTTTGAACTAATTTTTATTCTTGTTATTAAAGCAATTGCCGCTGCTGATACAATTAGACACCAACTCAGCAAAAGATATAATTTATAAAAAAAATATTTTATTTTGTTCTTCTTGAAGGTGCAAAAGAACACGCCTATAAATTCTCCAAATTTATAGGTGTACGTCAAAAGACGCATGTCAAACCTAGTTGATGTCATCTTGGTGACTGTAGTAGATTAAAACTGAAATATATTATTAGATTGTTTGACTAATTCATTAGTAAATAGTCCCCTTTTAAGTAATTCCAAAATTATCTATACTTACATAATTAATTTAAATGTCAAATTACCCTAATAGAGGACACGTTAGTGAAGCGGAACCCTTTTTTTATTAAATATCAACCACTAGGATTATTTATTACACTTAGTTAAACACGTTAATCATTTTCAAAATATTAAATGATTTACTAATATTACAATTGCTCGACAATGGATTTAATTTACTTTATTAATTATTTATTTCAATTATTTGCCCCACGCACGATGAAAGACAATTATAACAGGTATTTTAACTTCCCTAAAATCCCATATATACACAGAAAACGATATGGCATCAAACACAACGTAGTTCCAAAAAATCCATCTGAGGTCGTTAGAAGGCGAGGTACCTGTTTGACCATTATAAGAGCTGAGCTAGATAAAGTATATTTTAATTTCAACATGTATCCAACTTCAAGATCTGGCCTTTAGATGATTGATCAATCATTTGACAGGTTATTATACTAATGTTCAGCAGGGAGCATGACATTTATTATATTTTTGTATTGTATTTTATTTATAACTCTAATAATTGTTCAATATTATTTATTAAAGGAAGCGGTCATTCTAAAAGACACTAAATGGGCAATTATCAGAGAGCATATAAAGCAACGTGGAAAACCAGCAAATAGCTCCATCGAAATCAATAAGGCACCTTGGCATTCATAAAGGTTATTTCATACGAAATGGTAAATATTTTCACCATAGGCTCAAACCATTAGAGAAACTGGGGGATAGTTGATCACAGTTTTACTTTTTCTTGAAATGGAAATATAACCGAGAAGGTATAACAAAAGTAAATACATAATATTTATACTAACATTTATTTATATGATTTGATAGAGATACAGTTCATCAAATTTCTAGAGGCTTTCGACGGCTAGACAGAGAAAGCACTACTAAGAGGCATCGGTTGGCGGGGCCGACGGATTTACGCAATGAAAGTACACTCTGCGCATCAAGTATTTCACTATTTTATTCAGACGTAAATGTCAGATGTAAATTTCGCTAAAACATTTCTTTTATTTTCGTTTGTGTTTTTTGCTCATTACAGTTTAATAGAACCTAAGTATGGAGTTTAATAGCAAATTAAGAGGCCGCGTGATTAACAGTCAATCTCGCAAAATAATAGCCAATGTTATAGAGTTTATGAGAAGAGAAGGAAACTTTAATTCACCTTCACTACCATTTAAAAATGTAAATGATCGTGTTGCTGCAGCCACAGGAGTATCCAAAAACACTGTCGTCCGCATTTCTGGAGAGCAAAAAAGAATCGATAACCGTGAGATATCGGAATTTTCATCACTAATAAAAACCATTAAAAAAGCAAAAACAGTTAATGATATAGATGAAGCTGACAAAGGTATTTTAAAAAGAATTATTCTGTTCATGTTAATCTCGAAAAATATTGTTCCAACATTAAAAACAATTCTGACTAAATTTA